GCATTTTCCTCTTCGTGATCGGAGTATAGCAGCATCTCACACGTATCTAGCCTTTGTTGTCCAACTTGGGTTCAATGGGTTTCGCTGATTCCCAGTACTACCAACTAGTATCTCCTCATTTGTGTGGATATTTGACTGGTCTTCTCAGTCTCCCTCATTGTTCGGTCGTTCCATGTACCTATAAAAATTGTTGCTATTGTTGTTAGGAGGGGCATCGGCCTCGTGACTTCCGAAGGAACTCGGATTTCATCATGAGGCGTCATAGTTCTTCTAAATGAAGATCTTCTAACACCCAGGGTAGAGTTTAAATGGTTTTAATAATTTTTTCTGGTTAGCGTTGTTCTTTTAGCGAGTTATTTTTCAACAGGATGTGGTCGCTAACCCCATGCACAACCCTCCTCCTTTACCTGGGCTTGGGACCGGCAGTAGCTCTAGAAAAGCTATAAGCGTAGTTGGATATTGAGATTATCATTTTTTTTTCGATAAACAATAAACGGTCGATTGTCTGTAAACGCAGACTGAGACTGTAATAATCATATGGACATGCGTAGGTGGTTATAAGTCAGCTGATATTTTTTTCGATTTATAAACAATACGTTAATTTAATAATCAGATAAGCTTTGTAATTTAAAATAGGAATATCCACACAAATAATAATGATAAAATTATATGTGACATATTTTTTAAAACTTACACATTACATTATTATTATTAGGAATTTGGGTCAGGTTAAAGTATCCAACAGAACGACCTTGAGATGTCGATCATTATTAACTGATCAGTAAGCAGAAAATGAATCAAAACAATCTTCGAGAAATAATTAGTCAAATGGTTGATCAACTTTACTGTTTTTACTGTAGGCTTTTAACCGTTATAGTTTAGGGTTAAAATTGGGGTTTATAGTTAAGATTTAGGTTTAGTTTATAAGACTAAGGTTAAGATTTCGAATTCATGGTTGTTTGGGGATTTGGATATAGGATTTAAAAGTTACGTTTTAGAGTTGATATTGTGTTTTATGGTTCATTTATGTCTTTGCTAATTCTAGCGGTAATTTTAACCCTAAATCCTAAACTCTACAACCTGATTGATCAGTAATTGAGTGAAGTTTCGAAACGTCACCTATCTAATGATATTTCCGTCTTTAAGGTCAATCATATTTTGGTCGATAGCCATCATCGTGGTTTAATATTGTTCAATAAACGATAAAACAAGTGTGACGAGTTTTGAATCACTTCCTAGCCAATCAAAGAATACCATTTAGATATGGATAGTTTCTAGGAAAGAAAACAATAGTATTTTAAGGTGTAAACAGATTTCAAGAATGTAATAAGCTTGTCAACATCTTCTACAGGTCACTCAGCCTGTAAATCAGAAAAACTGTGATACATAAACCAGTTTTTATAGATATAGATTATCCGTCTTCTCGAACCCTTATAATGACCAAATAAATTTCTATGGGTAGCTACGTTGTTCCTGGTTAGGGTTAAGGATTAGTGTTGGAGTTTAAGGATAATGGAAATTCGCCTGTCATATACAATTTACAGAGACAAAATTAATAAGTTAGTATGTCCAATATTATCATTGTACTCTATTGTTGCAATAAGTGATTTTTCATTATCGTTTCAGGCATTATAAGCAATAAACAGAGATATTTCTACTGCTTGCTATATATGGGATTAGAATTTCGTGCAGAAACCTAAACGTCACTTTCTTGATCCTGACTAGCTTGACCCTAAAGTATGCATTTTACCCAAAAATGTTACACTAGACTGAAATATGCCCCAATTTTTTTGAAGTCTCTTTCACTAACCTAATTGGTTCCGAAGTTTACGTTAGCTGGACAGTATTCTAAATAATTATGAATTCCATAATAAAGCTGGCTATTTTCTCAAATGTTTTTTAGTTATCAGTTATTCATTAAGATCAACTGCGAGTTCGCCAAATATCCTGGCAACCAATTAGATTCATAAATTGAAAGAAGACTAGTTCATTAACCCGATGGTTTGTGATAACAATCTACGAATATTTAATACTGACCTTGGATTAAGAAAAACATTTGTGATACTGATCGAACTATAATTTTAAGAATTATGGAAAAAAACACAACAATAACAATTGAATATTGTAGTTGTAAATATTTTCAACTATACTTTTTAATTGTGTCAAAGAACATGTTGTTTTGGACAGGACAATCAATTTTGCTGTAGGATAAGTTCTTGTCAGTGTAGTTTTTAGTCTCATATTGATTGATCCTGTGATGTCGTCACCTTTGAATTGAAGTTGAATAAAAATAGGCTTTTTCTGTTCTACCACTGTAACTGCTTTGGCAGATACATGTAAATTTGTATATACAGTTGGTGGTAACATGAAAGGGATACCTGTTGACTACGTAGAATAACAAAGAAAGAATGAAAATATACATTGACAATTAATCTACACAGATGAAAGTTATTGATTTACTTACGAAATCTTTATGAATGAATTTAAAAATGAACACACAGATCACCTATTCTTTGTTTTATTGATTTCATATAGAAACCAATAATTATGGTGATGATCACATTGTTCCGTTTCATCGTACTATGTATAATTTTATTATTTACATTACAATAGTGATAGGAAACATACTGTAATAAGTTTTGTTCAAGCAAAAATGATTTTTTGTAAGTGATTTTTTGGGGAATTTTTTGAAAGTATTCTACACAAAAACCATTTAACAATATAGTAATAATAATAATGTGCTCACCAGTGACTAACTTAGTGAGGGAATTTTCGGAGTTCTAGTAAGAAATCATGACTAATGGAGTTAATCCGTGTCAGGTAGAGACAGGTATCTACCTCAGACAAGGGAAGATGGTCGCACAATTTCGTGGATTGGTTGAAGTTAGACATTAACACCACTGGATGCCCGGCTAACTGGTCTAGATATTAAGCGTTCGTGCACAAGATCAAAGGTCCTGGGTTCAAGTGCCTTTGGTGCGGTATCATGGGTGCTCACTACTGAGAAGTCCTACATTAAGATGAAACGGCAGTCCAGTGCTTCCAGGTTCTCAACGGTGGTCTAACGTCGATCGATTCATGATCTCAATCAAAAACTTAACAATCTACATAACCCCATACTCCTACTAATAATAATCGCATGGACATTAGTAACTTAATTCATGATAAATTTCCTGAAATTGTAATGGTATGTAGTAATCTATGAAGTGAATCGATTATGAATTCATACTTGGAGTTATTGTACGACATCAGGAATTCAATTATTGTTGGTTCTCATTTAATTCAATGAAATAAATACCATCTAATAAGTTATAAACTCAATGTATCTAATTTTTTCACAAAAATTCTACATATGATATTAGTTAAATAAACAAATAAAAAATTTTTCTTTGTATAATTCAATTTAAGTTTAGTGCTGATCTAAGTTTATTGGCCAAGTTACAGTGTGATCAATAGTTGAAGTGACTTGATATTAGTATGGATTATGTTCAGATTTTAATAGGGTTAGGGGAAGTTGACAAGAAACTCTGTTTGATTTATGTTTTATGTTAGTTGACATTCATTAACAAGGTATTTCTATAGTCCTAAGGAAAATGATGCTTCGTTGTAGAATGTGAATGTTTTCTTTTTGTTGAAAAATCACAATGATTAAAACTTGATAATCCTGATAATTTTACAGGTATGAAAACTTAGATTTTTTTGTTAGGGATATATTTTGACAATTACGTTAAAGGTCAAAAATGTAGCCGAAATTGTCAACTTAAGTTAATTAGAATTATCGAAAAAATTGGTTGGTTGAATATTAAAGATAATGTTAGTATCTTTTCCAGAAGTTTGAAAGAAAACCAAAGGACAATAGTAATCATCACAAATTACCTTTATTTACCGTAATAAAATCAATCTTAAAAGTAAAATGTTATACGTGACGAAAACTAAATGAATAGTAAACGCCAGGATTAATTTCAAGACTATTATTGTATATATTCTTACTGCATAATTGTTCAGCATTTTAAACCTAACTGCCGGTCCCAAGTTCGGGTAAGGGAGGATGGTTGGGCATGGGGTAAGCGATCCCGTCCCGTAGAAAAAAAGCTTACCGAAAAACATCAATCAGATTAAACAAATCAAAACATTTCAATTCTAAACTGAGAGTTGAAGCAAGAATTATGACGCCTGATGGTGAAAGCCGAGTTCCTTCGGAAGTCACGAGGCCGATGCCCCTCCTAACAACCAGAGCAACAATTTTTATAGGTACATGGAACGACCGAACAATGAGGGAGACTGAGAAGACCAGTCAAATATCCACACAAATGAGGAGATACTAGTTGGTAGTACTGGGAATCAGCGAAACCCATTGAACCCAAGTTGGACAACAAAGGCTAGATACGTGTGAGATGCTGCTATACTCCGATCACGAAGAGGAAAATGCTCCACACACTCAGGGAGTTGTTCGAATGCTGTCTGAAGTAACAGGAAATGTACTAGTAGGATGGGAATCTCACAGATCCAGAATCATCAAAGCACCATTCAAAACAAAGGAGGAGGGAATCACGATGGATATTATCCAATGTTATGCACCCACCAATGATAGCAACGACGATGATGAGGATCAGTTCAATCAAAGCAAAGTGTCTAAGAAAGAATCTCACCATTCTGATGTGGGATCTAAATGCCAAAGTTGGAATAGACAACACCGGATATGAAGATATCATGGGACGACATGGACTGACTGGGAGAGAGAAACGAAAATGGGGAAAGATTTGCAAATCTGTGTGCATTTAACGAATCGGTCATAGGCGACATACTATTTCCACACAGACGTATACACAAAGCTACATGGATCTCATCGGACCACACCACAGAGAACCAGATCGATCACATTTACATCAATAAAATATTCCGAAGGACAATGGAAGATGTGAGAACCAAGAGAGGAGCTGACATAGCTTCAGATCACTACCTGATTGTGGTAAAGATGGAACTGAAGCTAAAAGTACATTGGATAGCTGGGGAAACAGCAGTACAAATGTTCAATACAGCCTTGCTTCGAGATATTGACAAACTCAATGAATTCAAGATAGCTCTCAACAACAGGTTCCCGGCCTTATAGGATCTAATGGAAAAACAAGATAACATGACCCCCCTATCCCATACTCACTAACAATAGAGAAGAAGACAACTAGTGTAGCAGCAGCCTTTACATTAGTAGGCCTCAAAATACACAAAGGAAAAAGGGAGATTCCCAAACACAACATGGAGAACATCAATCCAATCACACTTGGTGGAGAAGCTCTCGAAGAGGTGGACAGTTTCACGAACCTGGGAAGCATCGTCGATAAACAAGGAGGTTCAGGTGCAAACGTAAAGTCGAGGATTGGCAAAGCAAGGGTCTCATTCCTACAATTGAGGAACATATGGAACTCAAAACAAATTTCAACCAATATCACAGTGAGAATCTTCAATACGAACGTCAATGTAGTTCTAATGTACGGAGCTGAAACTTGGGGAACTACGACAACCACCATCAAGAAGGTGCAAGTATTTATAAATAGCTGTCTACGCAAGATACTTAACATTAATTGGCCGGATACCATCAGCAACAGCCTTTTGTGGGAGAGAACAAACCAACTTCCAGCTGAAGAAGAAATTAGGAAAAGACGATGGAAATGGATAGGACATACATTACGCGAATCGTCAAACTGCATCACGAGACAAGCCGCAACTTGGAATCCTGAAGGGAAGCGGAAAAGTGGAAGGCCCAAGAACACATTACGTCGGGAAATAGAAGCAGATATGGAAACGATGAATAACAACTGGAAAGGATTGCCCAGGACTGGGTTGAATGGAGAATGCTGGTGAGCGGCCTATGCTCCTTCACGAAAAGTAACAGGCGTAAGTAATCTCAATATCCAAGTTTTTACCAACTTAACAACAAACACTAGCTTAGTAACCTTCTTTAGATAATAAAGTCAATTTATTGGACAAACAGTTATGTGATCACTAATAAACAAGCTATTCGCTATTTATCTATTTATGTATAAACTATAAATCATTTATTATCTAGACAAATTCGATACATATATTATTTATTCATATTTATTGACAAAAACATTGGATTTGAATTATCCCGTTGTGAACAATTCTTGATGGAATTTTAACTAGCCTTTGTTAGTATATGTGCATCCTTTGTGTATGTGTGTGGTTCGATATAGTCACTATGTCACAAGTTTCTATTAAAGTTTGATAGTGATAGGCAAGGAAACCTAATACGATCGTTTCGTCCTACTTACGACTCTTAGGTTGAGTGCATCTACATCTCAATGGTAATGTTCAAACCCTTACGAATCATGATGCAAGAATCACATTCGCTGAATATGATAATGACTATTTGAACCCAGTAGCTTGATGGATGACGCTTTTGGCGTGGAAGGTGATGAATTCTAGTCACAATATCGATATAAATAATAGGATATGAAAGTAACATACACTTGATGAAGAGTCCCGAAATGAACGAAACCCATGTCCTGTATTGTATTTCTATTCACTATCCAAATTACCTACTTGTCGGAAAATAAATTAATAATATAAACTTTAAGATTTTGAATGTCGCCAATTAACCAATTAGTCCTCGGATCTGTCTGTTGTATCAATTTGGTTAGAGAAACTTCATGATGAAATTATTTGTACCACATTTAGTCGGTTCCACGGACGAGTGTTTTATACAAGTTATTATTTACTTAGTTAAAAACATTAACGCTTTAGTTTTCGATGTCCCTCTTTCGAACTCGTTGATAATTCTTCGAAAAAGATTCTTTCTACACCAGGAAAACTTCAGCACTACGGAAACTTCCGAGAAAGTCTCAAAAAATGACCAATTACGCCTTCCTTATTCTGATTGTTATCAATTTTGACATTTTTTTCTCGGGCTTCTAGAATGTGAAGGTCACTTATGATTTTATAAGTATCCTTATTTTTCGTAGATAACCGATCCTTAAAAGTAACGTATCTCTTTCTGCATTTTCTGCCTCCTGTTTTCCGTTCAGGGTTCAAAAGAAGATTGCTAGGGACTAGAGAACCATCTAGCATATTAGTATCTATATACTAATCACAGTACAAGACCTATAAACTTGTAAAATCACAGAATGAATTTATTTGAGCGAAGTTGAAAACTCATTAAGGACTAAACAATTACTTCATCACAGTTTAAATAAAGATTAATACAGAATGGGCGGAATTGGCTAGTAGTGAGACCCAGGATGCAAGTTTCGTCCTATCTTGAAATCGTCAGCCGGATACACCTGCATCCCAAAGTTGATATTTACCGTTCACTTCAAACGCCATTGCACCATTTAGTTCAAATAGGCACTCACTTGTGCGGCGAGCATGAGTTTTAATTCAATTTGGAATGGTTTGGGTCCCGATTTTATTAGGACGGCTCTCAAGAAGCACGACGGAGCCTCCAGAGGCTCCAAAGGTGCTTAAGAGAGTCCATCCAATCAGAACCTGACGGATCTTTCTAGAGTATCAACGTGGCATGCTACAATTGGACGATAACATAGCTTGCCTCTTTGTGGGTTAGCTGAAATATAATTATTTTACAGCCAACGCTAATGACTATAAATACACATGGTTTTCTTTAAATTTTTGATTCCTACCTAACAATCACTTCTCCTGCCCCTTCTGTTTTCTGATTTGCGACTGTGGCGTTATATACGTTCGAGTGCCGTTAGTTGTATATCGGGTTGTACGTCAGTCAAGTAAAGAACGTAACAGGTTTCTAAGTGAACACCAACTCCGCGATCTGCCAGGTACATTTAGCTGACGATCCCTAAATAGGACGAAACGTGAGTCCTGGGTTTCATTGCTAGCCACATTCCATCTTTTCTAGATGAACTTGTGTCATAATACCTTTATCGAGACAAAACGTACATGATGCACATATGTCAAATAAGATTGATCAAAATTCAGTCAAAATATCAACAACCGGATAATTATAATATTTGAAAGTATTTGAATTATAGTATGAACTAGGAATCTCAGAATTAACGCAATCGACACAAGCACAAACGAATGTATTGTATTTAGAATTCGAAATCAAGCATTCAACAAGTACAATGGAATCATTAATTCATTCAAACACCACAATAATCCAAATCGTTTCAAATTCAGTAGGGATTAAGTTGGAAGATAATCAGATTGAAATGCAAAGGTGTAACCTTAATAGTATTATATTCATCTTGATACCGTGTAGCAGCTTTTCTATTATAGCACCTATGTGCTTTAGTCTAATTTTTAGGACAAACACATCGTCTTAATCTTCTTAGTTATTACGTCACAAATATATGCCCTTGAGCATCTGTGTATTAGAGTACATATGTGTCTATATGCTTGCTTTTATCTCTTCTATGCTTAGAAGGGTTGAGTCACATCACTGTTCCTTGAGTTGGTGTAACAACCAACTCTAATTCTTCATACAATCACTGCATTTTTTGTTACCTGTCTGACGTTCAAATCTAACATGTTCGAAATATATGTATCTTGAGTACAATTCGCCTTTGACCCTTATTGTCTACATCACATTAACATGATTTCTCAAAAAAAAAATGTATAAGAAGTAAATAGGATATAAATTTTATTATTATCATTATTTTTTCACTCTTATGGAGTCAACAACAAATAATAACCTAAAGAGCCCATATGAGATGTCGTATGGTAAAACGACTATGTATGCTGTTAATGGGTCTCATACTAAAGATAATAAAACTTCTCAGTGATTTTGCTTTTTTTTTTAAATAGTTCCCCATTTAAAATGTCAGTTCGTGATTTTAAAAAAACCTTTGAGTTCATCTAAGATTAATTTAGAATATATAATACTACTAATTAGCATGAGTAGTTTGAAAGTGTTCACAGATATTTTCTTTATACAATCCACTATATATTTTAATTATTTAGACTCGGTAAATGAAAATTTAATAACTGGAGTAAATAGTTTATATATACATACATTTGTGATACATTTCATTTAACCCGAATTCTCTATTCACTACGAAAGCCATCATCCAGAAGATACAGGTGTTTATCAACAGCTGTCTACGCAAAATACTTCGTATCCGTTGGTCAGACACTATCAGCAATAACCTACTGTTGGGGAGAACAAACCGAATCTCAGCAGAGGAAGAAATCAAGAAGAAGCGCCGGAAATGGATAGGACATACATTGAGGAAAGCACACAACTGCGTCACAAGATAAGCCCTCACATGGAATCCTTAAGGCCAAAGGAAAAGAGGAAGACCAAAGAACACATTACGCCGAGAAATGGAAATAGACATGAGAAAAATGAACAAGAATTGGATGGAACTAGAAAAGAAGGCGGAGGACAGAGTGGGTTGGAGAATACTGGTCGGCGGCCTATGCTCCATTAGGAGTAACAGGCGTAAGTAAGCAAGTAAGTAAGAATTCTCTATTCACTAGTGAAATAATTAATAATAATAATACACATCAAAAAGAATAGCTCTGACTAAGATAGAATATCGTATAAGAAGTGAAAACGGGACAAGAATTGAAAAAGTTGAACTTTCAGAACTCTCTTATTTGCAGCTGTTTTTTTTTAAAGATATTTTTGCCCTTTAGTTATTAAATACTTAGATCATTGTATTTTCCCAGTGGTAAATTTTTTTCAGAATGTATGGAACTGTTGTTAGATGTTATATTTTTCTTAAATTACTGTTAATTTATCACGGATCTGTTACTTAGTTCTCTTCCATTTATAGTATAAGTATGGTGTTATTTTAATTCCTTAATTATGTTGATCTGTGATCAAATTTTACTCTATATTATTATATGAATTTTGAGGTGGAATTAAATCAAGTGTATAATGGAAGTTGACTTCTCATCGGACTCAAGGTAAGGGATAGGGAAAGGCTTGAGTATAGTGGACCAAGAATGAGTAATAAATGCCTTAAAGTTGAATACTTTGCTTATTTCATAACAATATTTTTCTTACTATAGTTCTCTGGATTTCTCTAAATTATACAATCTGGATGTTTTTCAGCGTTTATTTAATACAATGATAAATGAATTAAAATTAGTAATATGTCTAAATCACTCAGAAAATGATGTTCCAATTCAAATTTCTATTAATCTGATTATAATGAGCGAAGGTGAATGAAAGGAGCTTTTGAGATAACAATTTACCGATAGTATTTGTCATTGCAATTTTCGTCTTCACCGGTCCAGTATAGAAAAAGCATAGCATAGTCATGGTCCAATCAAAACTGGGAACGCAACTATTAGGTTCTTACGCGAAATGTAGATAATAT